GGTCAATAGGGTGGAGCCGAAGAGTAATCAATCGGCTCCGACTACGGCAGCCATGAAGACTGCTCCTGCGGCGTCAAAACCAGCAGGGGTGGTGGAGAAGAAGATTAGAGGATTCAAAAGTCATTGAAAAGAAAGGATCACGGTTGTTAAACCGAAAGGGCTCTGATACCATGTGAATGTTTGATTAATCCACCACACCTAAATGGTGTGAAAGTTGTCTTATTTATAATCAAATAAATTACAAGGATATGGAAATAGTAATAAATGGAAAGATGCCTATGATAATAAGGCAAATATTAGATATTTGCCTTATAATAAAATATCAAATATAATATATATGGTAAACTATAATTTATTACTAAATATCCTTAACATGCATGCTAGTTCCAAACCCCTTTTTCATGTTTTCATCTTAGATAGACTTTTGCAATTTCATATCGGGTCAGTACGGGAGTGTATGACCGTTCACCAGAATCATGTCTACACCCGTCTGGACAAAAATGCCCCAAAATATACTAGAGCGGGATATGACTAGTTGTCAACTTCTCCGTACCTGATAGTTATATGCAATAAGGTGTAATTGTTGCATTTTACTTACATTCCCATATAACACTAATTTCAATTTCTCAAATCTTGCTGCTCTCGTTTTCTAAAACTTTCTTTTTGAATCGGGGCTAGAGGCTCGAGCATACATTGCTTGGCAATTGCAAGAACGAATAGGCTTAACTTACTCGTTGTTGGGAAGTGAGTGTCACATTATCGCAAGTCTACTGCCATTAAAATGTGATTGTGACAATAATTTAAATTTCATAAAACTCAAATATTAAACATTTTGAATTTTCGTAATAAATCATAAAAATAGATAAGAAATTGTTGGATCTAACTTTATTTTGGGGTTGGTCAGATTGACTTGACTCGACTCAATTTTTTTTCAACTTTTATCATTCCGTTCCAATTAATATAATTTTCAAGTCATATAAACACGTCTTTTTTTTTTTTAAGTCGTATTTTTAAGATTTATTTTAGAACTATATAATCAAATAAAAAAAAAGGAATTAAAATTGAATTTAATTTAATTTTGTTTAAAAATGTTGGTAGGAGATAGGTTATAGGAATTATGAGACAGTAGGCAGAGTCAAATGAAGAGGGACGACAGTACAGGTTGTCCTTTGCGTGTTCCACAGACAACCTTAGGCGTGTACATGGTCAGCATTGGATTGGGTTAAGTCATTTTTTTTTACGCAAAAGTTCTAGATTAGATTAGTTGGATTGGTAACCTAACTCAAAACTTTTCACAACCCAACCCTCTCGATTCAGTTCGGGTTAAAAAAAATGAACCCGACCCTATCTAAAATGCTAATCTAACCCAACCCAACTCTTAAAGTTCGGGTTGGGTTGGTTCGAGTTGTCGGGTTGAATGTACACCCCTAAAAAATACCCATAAAGTTAAATTTTGTTGAATAATAAGTCTAAAAAATACATTTATCGTTAGTTTTGGATGAAAACCGTTAATATTTTGTTTAAAAAATACCTTTAAACTTTCAAAAAGTTTTCGAAAATAGTTTTAGCTTTGAAAAGTGTTTAAAAAATACCCTTAAATTTTTAAAAGTTTTAATACACTTCATTTTTTATTTATATTAATTGTTTTCATCGTTACGGTATATATGTTATGAATTTATTTCACGAACATTAAGCGTTTACTTGGCTAAGAAAAAAAAATCGATTGAAAATTATAAAATTTAACATTTGAAGTATAACGTGGACACGGGCTCTAACATGAATACCCGTGCCATATATGGTGATCATTATCAATCGTGCTAGGGTGCCTTTTCTCTTACGTGAAGACGAAGAATATTTTGAAAAGGCTGAGTATTATAAATACCCATTACATGACTCTATTGTTGGAGTCTAGAAAATGCAAACACATGTAAATATGTTAGATGTCGGGACCTCTCTTTTATTAACCTTTTATTTATAGGTCATATTGCTAATGTGGCCATATCAAAACACGTGACTATCGCCACAACAAAATGGGGGAAATATCACAACTCTGACCTCGACCATGTCGTTAATTTTCAACACATGTAATCGTGAACATATTGTCATAGAACGTGGAGGGTTATATTGCCACTCTCCGTCATGGCTCATCATGTTTCAACACATATAATTGTGAACATGTCGTCAGAATTCATATTAGAGGATCATATAACACGAAATACATCAAACAAGACATCAAACCAAGCGTGTAATGTCTATCAGTAAGTTCAATTACCTCACTAACAGTATGCTTCGTTGCTTTTGCAAGTGTGAAGAATTTTTTTAATATTCATCGGGTTGATACAAGTATAGACAATCAACTGTATCAAATTCTCAAGGGACCTATTTTAGACTACTCTATTAATGGTAGATATCGTGAGACCCCACATCGGTTCGAGAGGAGAACAAATTCCTTAAGGGTGTGGAAACTCATGTTTTAAAACCAAGAGTCAAAGCAGACAATATCTACTAGCGGTGGACTTAGATTGTTACAAATGGTATTATAGTTAGACAACAGGTAGTGTGTCAGCTAGGACATTGGGGTGAATTGTAAGATCCCACGTTGATTGGAGAAGAGAACGAATTTCTTATTAGAGCTAGACACGAGGTAGTGTACCAACTAGCACTGTGAGTCTCAGAAGAGTGAGATTGCGATACCATGCACGTGAAATTTTTTGTTTAATTTTAGTGTCTAAAAAAAAGCTAAACTAATAGAAATACTGTCTCAACTTTGTAGTTAGTCTAAAAAAAATACTCTTAAACTTTCAAAATTTTCAATAATACCTTTTCCCTTAAAAAAAATTGAAAAAGTAATCGTAAACTTAATATATAATAATAATAATAATAATAATAATAATAATAATAATAATAATTTAAAATACATTGTCATCCGATGAAAATTATTAATATTTTATTTCAAAAATATCTTTTAACTATTAAAAGGGGTTTAAAAAAATTCTTTTACAAAAATTATTCTAGAGTTGATAAACAATCCTAATCGATCAGCTCAACGATCCAAATTTTTGTTCGACAAAGAACCATTAAATCAAATAATTAACACCTTCTTATACAAAATTCAGATAACGAAGAGATAAGACTCTAGATTATCAAGTAAGATTTGGAAACTTGGTTCTAAATTAAGTTACTCCATAATCAAACTTGATCTAGGCTTGATTGAATGAATCGAATGCAATTCTACACAAGAATTGCTTGAAACATAGAAGTAGCAAAATTGATGCTCGTATTTCTGAGGGAAACGTCTCAATTTGAGATCTGAATTACATTCATCAAACGAATCTGATTTTTACATAACATATTGTGGGTATACATAACATATTGTAGGTATTTACAGTGACATTTGTGGTCGGGATTTAATCCTGATCTCCTTTAATCTCCACAAAAGACGAAGTCAAATTGACCGTTGACACTTACATAATTTATAAAATTAAAAATAATAATGACATTTTTTTTAATCTGGTCCCTTTGCCGGCTTAGGTTTGAACAGTGTTGTTGACATTTTTTTAATCTTTCTTGCATGTCGGTCCCATTTAGAACACCGCGATTATTATCAGGAGTTTTAAAAAATTTTATTAGTACCTTCAAACATTTTTAAAAACTTTAAAAAATACCTTCAAACTTATTTAAAAAGTTAAAAAAAAAATAATAAAAAAAACTCTTATGGCTAGTGTATGGACGAAACAGTTAATATCACGTGTAACATCTATTATTTTCTTGCCATAAATTAGTGGCGTTACAACTGACTATATCACAGCTAATTTTCTTAATCTAATTAGTGACGTCACCCTATGCATGCTTTAATTTCATACTGTTGGGTTAGTAATGCAATCACACACAAAACATGATTGAGACCTATCATTTAAAACCGTGACATGACCTTAGACCCTTTCCAGGCATGGTTGGATGCATGATACTTCTCTACAAATAGCCTACGTACATGGACCCACCAGACGGACTCGTATGTACTCCATGGGCCTGACTTGGTATGACATAACACATTACACGTCACCAGACGTCACGAAAAAGGAAAGACCCCCATAATATCATGGCGAACATAAATATCGAGAGTATACATTCGTACTAGGATAATATAACGAAGAAGTATCCCGATACATATGACATACATACATGCATGAGGTCTCAATGATTTCATTCATAACATAATATTTATTTCACTTTCTTTTTTCCTTTCCTCTATATGAATTATGTATTCACGTAATCCATCACATAACTTTACATGATAAGACGTAACATTTCATTTTATTCGTAATATAATGTAATGGATATCATATGCATACATGACATACATCGCATGACAATACAAAAAGCATATAAGCATCACATAATTAATATGGTACATGTGGGAGCCACCGAACATGCACTATCATAAATCAATCAATTATCTAACTCCTCCAGGTTCACGTTCAATCCGGTCAGGTAATATCAGTTCTGGTTCCGGAGTAAGTAGGGAGAGGAGATTTCTCTTTCATTTTCATTTCCCAATCGAAAGTCAAGAAAGGCGTTAGCGCTTTAGAAAGATTGTGCAGGGCGGTGAGGCTGGCTTGACTAAGAATCTCGAAAGGGCTTTTGAAGCTTACTCTGCTACAGCGGACCGAGAAGAAAGAAGGAAGGCTGAATCTGCGCCCTAAAACAAAATGGAAAGACCGTAAGTTTTCTTGGTCTCTTTTTATGACCATGAAATTAACTTTTTGAATTGAGACATGTTTTTAGACATAGGTCGTAAATTTTGTAAATTTTTGGGTGGATTATTTATTAATATTTTTTATAAAAGTAAAATATTAATTTATAAATTAGATTTATGGGTTATTAATTTTTTTAAACTCAAATAAATAAATTAAAATATATAATTGAAATTTAGAAAAGGTTAAAAAAAAACTGATTCCAGTTTGTAAAATAAAATAAAAATGAATAAAAGAAATGGCGGAAACCCTAATCTTGTTATTCTTCTTCACGCCAGCTCCTCCTCCATTTTAGCATCTCATTGTCACCGCCGCCTCCCGCCCGTAAACTGCTGCCGCCGTCGCCGTCTTTCTTCCATTAGTTTCGCCTCAGCTTTCCTCCTGGTCGTTTTGTACCGATTTTATACTTCCTTGTTATAGTGGTATTCTCCCAATCTCGATCTCTATCTTTCTTCTAACTTGAAAACACAAATTAGAACTTGTGTGATGAAAAGATGCTTTATTATTTAATTTGTTTGCTGTCTGTACCTTCGTTGGATTCAATTGCTCATGTGTTTTTGTTAATTTATACTACTGAAGTTCTACGTAATTGAATTGTTTGCTTTTTGACAATCGATTGGATACTGAGAATTAGCATACGTTTTTTTGTAATCCTTTATCTCATACAGGATGGTTTGATATTCGAATACTTATATGAACCAATGCCTAAAAAACTCAAACACAAGCATAGATTAATTGGGTTTACTCCTCTAGTAATCTGTTTCAGTGGATAAAATTATTTGGTAATTTTGCTTCAATTTGTTTTTATATCATATCATAATCCTAAATTCATAATATTTGGTTTGACAAGGCCTACATGTTTGCTAATCTTGAATAAAGGTGGAAAAAAGTTGGAAGGAATAAGATGGGGGTTTTCTTTTTTGCACTCTAATGGATTTCTACTCACCATAGATGAAATTCCTTGTCTTGATGGTTAGAAGAAATAAAAAGAAAATAACTATTCTAAAATTATATCTTGTAATTGTAAATCATAAAAACTATTTTCCCTCAACAAACATCAGCTCTCTTGCAGACCGGAAAATCGAGAGAAAACAGATTAGTTTTAGGCAATAATGAATTAGGCCATGAAATGATTTCAAATCCGTTCTGATTTGAAATACGGTTCCAAAAAGAGGGTTTGACTATTGTCATTTCTGGATGCATCTGAGCTATCTAATGTCTTATTGATGAAGTTTGTTTGTAAGCCTTTTATTTGGTTCAGTCTGATTCTGAACTGTAGAAAATATATGATTGTAAAGAAGCATTGTGTCCATGATTGGGAGTCTCATTTTTCTCTTTCTTTGAGTATCAATCTCAATCTGAGGGAACTATGCTTATTAGGATAGGGGCGATCAGATTTTGAACCTGTAGGCAACCATTTTGCTGTGGCCATAATGAATAAATTTTCCTCAATTTGGCTTGAATCTTGGTACTTTGAAATTCTGAAGATAAGAAATTGGCATGTTATAAACCCAAAGTGGTTGAAACTCAAGAAAACCAAACCGACAGACAAGTGTAGTTTGAAAATTGGGTTTGCTCAATCCATCTTCATTGGTATGGTTGTCCATTTTTATTAATAAATGATATTGTTTAAGTTATTGGTTCAGCCAAAAGAATCTGCAAAACAGAACTAATTTATACCTTTGTCCTTATGAATTGTTGCCATTTTTAAATGCTTAAGAACAATTATCATTTATATCTGTTGGTTCCAATTATATCAAAACTATTACTCATTGCCATTACTTTGAAAGCTATGTTAGGAATATTGATAATTACTAAAGAAATCTCTCTCTGGGTATTTGTGACTAAACTTTTTGTATTTATTTGTTAGGACTCATTTTGCTTGATTGGAGGTTATTTCAATATGTTGCCTTGTTTTGTGGGCTCCTATTTATTTGCCCTTACCAACAGTAATGAGTCACATGTATCATCACTTATCAAAGGGCCACTATGAAGGAATAAAAAACAAGGTCAACTCAATTTATTTCAATAAATCTTAGTATCTCGATAAATTTATAGTGGAATCTACAGTATGATCTTTCATGTACATTCAAAATATACATTCTAGAGTTCTAAGCTCCATGGCCTCATAACCCCTTAGCTTTGTTATGTCCTCATCACTAGATGTGGAAGCTTAGGTACCACCTAAAAAAGAAGAGCAACATGGAGGAGTATAAAAGTATACTCAATAAGTAGCTCACTTGTAGGCTTGTAACTAGATACCAATCTCACACATAATCATTATATCATGTGTCTTAACTTATATGTCTCTCAATAGTAATAGCCTAGATTCTCAATCATAGGTTATCCATCATAAGAATATTATTTTTTTTTATGAATAAGACTATATTGAATATTATGAATAAGACTCATAATCATGATAAAAATATTATGAATAAGACTCATTCAACTCCCTTGAGCTAATGCAATGCTAATAATCTTATGTTTGAGATTACTTAGCTCATTTGAGCTCACAATAGGGTTTTCACTCCTTGATACCATCTCATCTATCTCAAAGATTGAGTTCATAATATTCAGATCCTCTGAGCTTCATCTATATCAAATGGTCTAGCCTAATGGTTGGATTTACATCTTTTAGCTCATCTGAGCTTATCTTAATCATTGAAGTCATATAACCCATCCCAGCGATTGGTATCACATAGTTTAGCTCCTCTGAGCTCATATTTCAACCATTGATGTTTCATCACAAATTCGATTATTTGTTTTTCATAAACCAGCTCCTATGAGCTTATATAAATCATTGTGTCACAGGTCCTACTCAATGGTTGGTTTATGCTATCTAACTCCTTTGAGTTTATCCTTAACCACTAGTGTCAGATAACCTTGCTCCTTTGAGCTTGTCCTAATGTTTCTTGGGTATTTTAGGGTTTAGGTAATCTAGTTATGCCTTTTACTATTTCTCTGTTTTCAATTGATATCATAGAATGGTGAGGTGCGTGTTCTCTGTTAACAATACCTTCCATCTATGTGACCTATATGGCTCATTTTTTCTGGGCAGCTTAGTACTAGAAATTAGTTGGCTACTCCCTAGTCCCCACATAGTCACTATAAATTGGAGAGTGATCCCTGTGCCCCTACCGATCCCGATATTGTGCAAAGAGTGTAGTTGAAGATTCCTCTAAACAATCCCACATAATAACCTAATGGCACAACATATGATATGCACCTAATAACCTAATGGAAATTAAGCTTGTAAAGCATGTTAATTGGTTGTTAGCATGAGGTCGTTTGGTTTTTGATAACTTCTGATTGTTAATGCAATTATGCCTGATATATAGTTTGATTGATTGTATTAAGCATGCTGTGACACATTAAAGCATGTTGTTGATTGAAAGTGTGAAAGATGATTGAAGATTCTGAGATTCATCCATGTTTCTCTTGTTTAGAGCATTGTTGAATTGGACTAGTCAAGGGAGATGGTGATTCCTCCTCCAGTTAGGCCACCAAGATTAACCCAGTATCTAAAGCCGTATGTCTTGAAGATGCACTTCACAAACAAGTATGTTAGTGCTCAAGTGATCCACTCCGAAACAGCCACAGTTGCTTCAGCTGCAAGCTCCCAAGAGAAGGTGCTGCGGTCGAGCATGGAGTCAACAAGGGATGTGGCTGCTGCTGCAAAGATTGGGAAATTGTTGGGAGAGAGGCTTATGCTCAAGGGAATCCCAGCTGTTTGTGTACACTTGAAAAGAGAACAGAAATATCATGGTAAGGTCAAAGCTGTCGTTGATTCTGTGAGGGAAGCAGGCATTAAGCTGCTTTAATTTTATTCTTCTCGGTTCAATTTGCTTCATTTTGGGTCCTCCTTTGCCTGATTTGTTGTTGGGTTTCATCAATCACTGCCCAATATTATCATCTTTAGTTTGGATTGGCAACCTGATGAGATGCATTATTGGACTTTGCTTTGATCACAGTTCACAAGTGAGCTTGATTGTGAGTAGTGTTTTTTCCTGCCAGCTTTTTTGTCAAATAAATAATAACTAAGAGACTTTATATATGTATGATTTTTTTTTTTTTTTTTTTTTTTTAAGATTTTAGTTTACATTAATTCAGTTTAGTCCTTATTGTTATATTTGTTTTCAATTATATTTTTTTTGTCAAATCTATTTAGTGAGTTTATAAAAAAATTAGATAAAGAATTGAGCTTTTCAAAAGAGAAGGTTGAAACTTTTGTCTGCATAGAAGTTTATTATCCTCCAATTTCAACAATTGCCAACAAGGAGAATATAATTGAAAATGTTACAAATTTAAATTATCAAATTTCAAATCACTAGTGGACAAACTGTGAATAATAACTGCTTGAATTTGATCCGACTTGATTTAGACACCTTGGTTTCTATACCAATTTTGACAAACAAACCAAAATTAAACTGAATGGCTAACATTTCTAACCTTAACTAATCGAGCACAACAATGCAATTACCTAAGGCATACTTGATCGCTTAGTTTATTAAGCTGATCGTGTGGACTATATCTCTAATTCTATGTCAAAAGTGAGAGAAACCTGATTCTCTTCTTTCTTTCCCTACCCCATGTCACCGTGCCAGTGCAGTAGTGGCACGTGCGTAAAATGGGGAGGCTATGTTTGAAGGAAAATGAAGAAAAAAGGGACATAATTCAAAATGACACTTCTATAATGGTAGAGTTGTTCACGCCATTCCCTGAGGAAAATACTGAAAGGTTGATATTAGCATATGAATATTTGATAATTTGGCATAGCATTGCCTGTGTCCAAGTAGTTGACATCAACCACAGCATCCCCAAGATCATCTGGAAAGGATCAATTGTTTAGCTTCCACATATTACTTTAAACCAAAATAATAATCTAATGGCATCAACCTTCGGCATTGAGTCTATTTAGTCACTAAACTTTAAAGGGTTTTGATCATCTCCGTAAATTTCAGATTGTAGTTTTAGCCAAGTTAATAAAAAAATACCCCTAAACTACCCTTGAAAGTTTTAAAAGTTTTAACAATACCGTTGACAAAAATACCCTTAAACTAAAAAATAAATAAAAGTTCATTAAAAATAACTTTAAATTTTCAAAAGAGTTTCTTTAGAAGGGTATAAAATACCCATGAAGTTTCAAAAAATAACGTTAGTACCTTTAAACCTTTAGAAAAATTAAAACTTCGGAGAGAATTTATAAGTGCAAATAAACAATTTACTTTCATATATTAATGGTCAAAACTTTTTTGAACTTTTTTTTTTTTAATAAAAGTAGGGTGTTAATGTAACGTTCAAAATTTCAGGGGTATTTTTTAAATTTATGAACTTTTTAAGTTTAAAGATATTTTTGAAATACTATCGAAAGTTTAAAGGTATTTTTTGAAAAATACTAACAATTTTCATTCAAAAATGGTAATTCAAAACTAATGGTAAAGGCATTTTTGAAACTTTTTTAAAAGCTCTAAGAGTATATTATTCAGACATAAAAAAAAAATGTAGTAGAAAAGAAACATGCTGAAAATGCTGAAGGTTAAATAATCTAAGATCAAGAAACGAACCTTCATAGATAGTTCTTGCTATATGTACATAGTCGGGTATGATATCTCTGTATATGATTCCATCTGGACGAGCATCCAGCACCACAAGAACACCTATCATCATCCACATTCTACAAATTTTCAACTCATGATTTTCTTTTTTCAAGTAAAAAGTCAAGTCTTCATTGAGAATAAATGAAAGAATGCAAGAGAATATGAAAAGAACAGCCTAAGAGGAGCCCATTTAACCAGGAACGAGCTCCCACCAGCAAAAATTAGGGCTATTGAAACAAATCTTCGCCTTAGGAAACTAAAAAAGAAGAGTGATGAAAAATAACTAAGATTTCGGAAAGTTAGGGAAAGAGAGAACTAAAACAAATTTAAGTTTGATATGTAAAATCTTTGTTGTAAGATCTCATATCGGTTGAAGAGGGGAAAGAAGCATTTTTATAAGGGTGTGGAAACCTGCCCCTAGTAGATGCATTTTGAAACCATGAGGCTGACGACGATACGTATCGAACTAAAGTGAACACTATCTACTAGCAGTGGACTTGGGCTGTTACAAATGGTATTAGAGCCAGACACTAGATGGTGTGCCCCCAAGGGAGTGAATTGTGAGATCCCACATCGGTTGGAGGGAGAACGAAGTATTCCTTATAAGGGAGTAAAAACCTCTTCCTAGTAGACGCATTGATAAGAATAACAGTGTTCCAAATATTCCAACTGAACCTATTACATGATCCAAGACCAAGAAGATTCAACAAGCACTCATTCTTTATCTACAAAATTGGATAGACTCAATTCAATCGTTATTTCATGTGTTACAAGCTGATTCGATTGGGGAAGGATCATTTGGAGCTTCGAAAATGAATATTTGCATAGTTGAAGTAACATCATTATTTCATGTGTTACAAGTTGATTTGATTGAGGAAGAACCATCTGGAGCTTCAAAAATGAATATTTGCATAGTTGAAGTAGCGGATGAGGTTTCTATAACTAACCGTTAATGGATAATTTGTTAGAAAACTGTATTTATTATTTTAATTCCATAATTTCTTGTAGTGGGGAAAATGATGGGAATTTACTTGTAAAGGTTTTGTGGAGATTTAAAGGATGGTGGGAGTAACTCACCAATCATGGCCACTCACTTTATTAGTGGTCGAAGAATTGGATATTTCTTCGTAGACTATAAATACCGACAAAATACTATATAAAAGTCAATTTTTGAATGAAAATTGGCTCTCAAATTGAGACTTTCACCTTTCGAAATTTGAGTATCATTTTTGCCATTACTAAGTTTCATGCAATTATTGTGGTAGATTGCATCTGAGTCATTCAATCAAATCTTAATTAAGTTCGATTATGGAATGACTCAATTTAGAACAATCTTGATTTTAGATCTTTGATCTCTTAATCTAATTCTAGTCTTATCTGTATAAGAAGGTGTTAATTTCTTGATTCAACAAAAGTTTGGATTGTTGGACTGAGGATCAGGGTTGCCTTATCACACGTTTTAAAATCGTGAAGTTGACAGCGATACGTAACGGACCAAAGTGGACAATATCTACAAGTGGTGAGAAATCTCCTAGATACCTGGTAAGTTAACGGGCAGTTCAACTAATTTCATCGATAATAGGTTTGTAGTCAGTTCCTTGAACACTAAACCAATCTAAGAAAAATTACCTGGTGCCTCCCAGTCCTTGGTAGAATTGCTGGGAATTGGTGCCAGCCAGAGGATATTTCTCATGTTCATTGAAGCATCATAGGGTACATTAGATCCTACATTAAAAAATTCTAGAATTAGCAAACAATGATTTTGAAGTGGGAAAACGCAGATCAAAGCATTAGAAACATCATTATTTTCCTTTCTTGCAGCAGAAAACAGGAAGGAAAGGAAAAGAAAAAAAAATGCAACATAAACAAGTTGCCGGCTTTCGTACCTTTCGATCTTACTTACTAAGCTTTTCCTACCAGCAACCTACCCTATTCTCTGCTCCCAAAGAGCCTAAACCAGTCAGTAATGTCGTTGAATGAACGAAGACTTCCCTTATCCAATGTTGTGTTTCAATATGAAAACTCTTTTCTTTCCTTTTCTCTCGGCTCGATGCTAACTAAAGTCCTAAGGACGCTCAAGGTTTTCCAATCTTCCAAGTTAAGGACATATCCTATTAACTAAGGAATCCCTTTTCTCATGGAGAAGCCCGTCGCACATTCACTTTTTTCGCTAGCATGACAAATAAAGAGTTGTAAGAAGACGAGAAGTCAGGGTTTCTGCAAATTCTATTAACGACCCACAGGGAAGGTTTGGCAAAGGTGTCCTAAGAGGAATCATACCGTTCTCTATATGTGCCCGAATGAAAACAGAGTTGCATTTGTGTGAGAAGCACATACTCGAGAAGATGAGTCAGACCGAAATTCAACACGAAGCATACTTTTTCGGGCTTCTTAGAACAATTAGCACAAGAAATTTGGTTTTAGCTCAAGGATTATGGTCTAGTACTACTCTATATTTTCATTAATGCGAAAGCATTTCACTTCCATGGAATTGAGGTGAAAAAACATATAATGCACACCATACAGTTTATCTTGGTTATACCAATTTGACAATAGCCCATGTTGTATGGAAAAGCCTTCTCATCATAAGCTGGGAATTCCTTAGCATGAAACCTGCCAAATGCAATCCTTCACATCTCACCCCAGAGAAAACTCCAAAGATCAAGTATCAGTTTTGAGGGGGAAATAGAAAAAGAAGAAAGAACTCACAGAATACCAAGCCTGTTATTGTCGAAGGAAAGAAAAAGATGACCGTGAAATAAATCGAAACGGTTCAATGTAACGTTTAATCCCATAGCAGCGGATCGAGCAGCAATGAGCTCAAACAGGAACTTTAAATATGAATTTAGTTCCTGCAATTTGAATATCATACACCATTTATATGTCCAAATCAAATGTCACAGATATCATAAACAGTAGTTTTTCAGTGTAAAAACAGACCTCGCTTATGAAGCGTCTCCCATATGGTGTTCTTGTGAGTTCGCATTTGTGTTTTTTTGATCCATGAACGTTGGGTATCTGTTGCATTACTAAAGCATGTAGGAGTTAATAAAGTAGGTTCTCAATTCTAATTGAACTATTCAGATTTTGTGATTGTCTTCTTATCATCACCACATAATACAGGACATCATTGTTCACTTGATATAAAACAATGATAGAAACTCATCCTTTAATTCATACTTCAGTTAAGAGCTTAAACTATAGAAAAAGAATTCATACTTCAGTTAAAGAGCTCAAACTATAGAAAAAGAGTCATTTTGTGAGATCTCACATCGATTGGAGAGGGGAATAAATTATTCTTGATAAGGGTGTAGAAATCTCTCCCCATCAAAAGCGTTTTAAAACCTTGAAGGGAAACTTGGAAGGGAAAACCCAAAGAAAACCATATCCACTAGCAGTGGACTTGGGCTGTTACAAATGGTACCAAAGCCAGACACCGGGCAATGTGCCAACGAGGCCACTGAGAACCGAAGAGGGGTGGACACCAGGCGGTGTGCCAGTGAGGACGCTGAGCTCCGAAGGGGGTGGATTGTGAGATCTCACATTAATTGGAGATAGGAACGAGTCCCAGTGAGGACGCTGGGCCCTAAGGGGGTGGATTGTGAGACCCCACTTCGGTTGGAGAAGGGAACAAAGTATTCTTCATAAGCGTGTGGAAAAATAGAGTATTCTTTATAAGGGTGTGGAAACCTTTCCCTGGAAGAAGCGTTTTAAAAACCTTGAGGGAAAGCTCATAAGGAAAAGCCCAAAAAAGACAATATCTACTAGCGGTGGGTCGGCTGTTACACATTTATTCACCATCAAAGTTGAACTCAAGTACAATTTGATTCATGAGATCTAATACACAAACTAATTACGATTTAAGCCCAAGACTTATGATTTGAATATCATGTTCCATTTTGATTTCATCGAAAGGTTTATGCGGTTCAGATAACAATTAAACCATTTGGTGACCCATATACTCCAAAGATAAGTCAACTTGAGCTTGAGTATTAATTTAATTCACAATGTACAGCAACCACATAGATTAGTACAATGATTTAAACTTAGAACTTGTCCATTCATAGATTACCATTACACATTCCAACATTCACATACACATTAGTCGAAATATACAAAATGGTTACGGATCTTTTAGAAATGATCATCTTAGCGCTTCGCCCATATCCAGTGAAGTTTTCATAAATTTTGTATAAACAAGTTCAAGTAAAGAAATGAAACTCACAGGGATTATAGCTGGATCAAGAGTGCGATGGATAGCCCCAGGGTCTCCACCAGAATCAACAGCAAGGCGAGCGAGTTCGAGAACCGATTGAGGCGGCCACCAGACGAGCTCATCTTCCTCTCTCCGACTCCGATCATCGAATCTGCTTGATCTCAAGCTCCGTCTACTGGAGAATTTCACGATGGATGGAGTTGGATGGAAGGGAACAAGGAATTTGAAACAGGATCTTATCTCCTTCGCTACGCTAGGGTTCACAGTCGAAGCTTGAGATTTGGAACCGAGAAGATTGAGCAAATCGGAGGGGGCGGCTTTGGGGATTGGCGATGGTTTGGTATAATTGTGAGAGAGAGCGAAGGGAGTGATTGAGAGAGAGAGGGAGAGAAACATGGTGAATCTGAGAGAGATTGAAGGGTTACCCATTTGAGCTGTTTCAATGGAGGTGCTGGAAATGGAAATGCATTGTAATGGAGTTGAAGAACTCGAGAGGAAGATGACGATGGAGGGCGATGAGGATTCGCATCAGATCCGCTGTTCTTCATCTACCGATTAAAAAATTCTCCATGATTGATTGTAAGACTCCTGCTGCAACAATGCAAATAATTGTTCACCTTCCGCTCTATGCTATCCTCGCAAATTATTGGCCAAATATTTTGATTATTATCCAATTTTCTAATGAAAATTAAATTTAAGGGTGGAACCTGACCAACCCAACTCGTGGAAGTGACCCTTATTTTCTCGATAAAGCCACATAATTAGAGTCCTATCCACGTCGAGTGAAATCACCATCTATACGCAAAGAATTTGTTGGACACAGTTGGTCTAGCGGACAGTAACCTTACAAGGACGCTAATGAAGATCCAAATCTAGCTGAGGAAGACCAACACTACAACGGTGTCGTCGACTCCACCATTACCATAGCATTGAGCCTGCGCTATCTGGTAAACACGCCTTGATGTTGCTTATTATGTTGGATATGTGAGTAGGTTTATGGAAGCACCTAGGGAGGAGCATATAGTGGTTGCATCCTGTGTTATGTAGCTGGAACCAGAGGTTGGAGTGTGAGACACTGTACAGGGAGAGGAAGGGAGAAGCTTTAGTTGGTCGACTACAGTGATAGTGACATGGTCGGTGACGTTGATAATCGTAAGAGCACCAGTAGGATGATTTACTTCCTCTCAAGCAGCGCGATCGACTGGCAATCAACAAAGCAAAAAGTAGTTGCTTTATTTTCTTGTGAAGCAGAGTACATGCCGCTTCGGCAGCAGTAACACAAGAGCCCTGGCTTGCACGACTAATGGAAGAACTCATCGAAAAAGAAGACGATCCACCAATGTTTTACATGGACAGCAAAGCTACGATCTCCCTTATCAAAAATCCAGTTTTGCACGACCAGAGCAAGCACATAGAAATCAAATTCCACTATATCCGGGAGTGTGCAGATGGGGGGTTCATCAAGATTGATTTCATCTGAATAGAAGAACAACTTGTAGACATTTTCACCAAATCTCTAGGTGAAATTTGAAGAACTTCCTCGAAGATTGGAGTTCAAACAATATATACGATATGACTAGTGAAAGTGATCCCTATCTTCTTGTTAGAGTTGCAAAATTAGAGTGAGTGGAATATCCACTCGAGTGAGAGGCTATCCCTATCTTCTTGTTAAAGTCACATAATTAGAGTGAGTGGAATATCCACTCGAGTGAGATGCTTAAATTGAGCCGCCACTTCTATATTTGTTATTTAAATATCACAAATCAATGAGAAACAAATCAGGTATTCAACAAATAAGTCGGTCCTCTCTCTTCTGTCTTTTCCGCCTATTTTTTCTTCTTTCAACTATAGGCTGTTTTCCCGACACAATTTCGTCAAATTGCTCAGTCAACACAACGTAAAAGTTGAATTTCAAACGAGTCATCGAGTTGTTGAGTTAGCTAGATGGGAAGGTTTTGGACTGATGTTTGGTAATTAATTAATTAAATTGTAGAAGTATATGAATGAATTGAGATTATATCTAAGAGCGATTTTAAAGATAGGATGACTAAAAAACCCTTAAAAGAATCGAAAGTTACTACCTATACTAACAATGTGCATCATTTTTTTTCGATGGTTCAATCATAGAAACTCATTGAGAGTGCTTTGGTTGAAGCAATTCTATGTTGGGTGACCTCTTGAAAATTTTCCTCTATTAGTTTTGTGAAGATGAGTAAGTAATGTGACCATGCAAGAGATGCTCGAAAATGTAAGAATCATTAGGTATTGAATTTAGATTCTAGATCTTGAATCAAATCCTTGGCATAGGTCGTTACAAATAGCATTAAAGCGGTACAGTTTTTAGTAAAATGGAGTTTAGTGACGACCCAAGGCAGAAGCTGGTGAGCAACATAGCCATATCACAGGGAATGTTAGGGTCATCAGGTGTCGAATCCTTATCCAAATCCTCAGCATGAATCTTACAAAATGGTATCAGAGATATCTCTCTTAATAAGATGGAGTTCAATGACGAACCAAGGTGAAAGTCAGTGACCAACATGACCATGTCGTAGGGGGATGTGGGCCATCAGGTACCGAATCCTTATCCAAATCCTTGGCATAGGTCGTTACAAATAGTATGCTATCTTTGACTGAGCGATTCGGCTGGTGAGGAAATCTTGACGAAGCAAAATTGCGGAAGAAATTGTTGGGAGAAGAAAAAAGAGAAGAGCGCTCAATAAAGTAAAGAGCAGGGGTGTACATTGTCTCGGTTGGGTTGGGTTGAAAGATTTTTTTGACCCAACCCAAAAATTCAGGTTGGTTGGATTGGTAACCAACCCAACTCGAAACTTTTCACAACCCAACCACCTAACCCTCTAAGTTGGGTTAGGGTTGGATTGTCAAATTTTTTTTAAAAGATTTATTTATTCAAAAAAAAAAAAATTCAATAAAAAAACCACAAATGAAAATGATAACATATTAACCTAGTTCAACATTGTCATAAAAACCAGTATAGACAAGAAATATTTTTTTATTACTCCTTACTACATCGTGAATGTTGTGACCACATACAGAAACCAAGAACAAACCCAAGGCTCTTAACGCATCTAAATTTTGTTGTTGGTGAACACCTTGGCGACCCTGTGAATAGGGACCAAGGGAAGGGATGAAGCGACCTTGTGACCCATGTCGGCAGAGGCTCGCATGGTCTAGTTGTATTTCTCAGTGTAGAGTGCTGCTGTTGGCACGATGGCCTGCGCAACAGTGGGGAAGACAGGCAACTGGTTCAGTGTGTGCATTGCTGATGCTGCGGACTGTTCGACCTTGGGTTCGTACTTGGTATACACGGATTTCACAATTCCAGAGACGGTGCCTTTAAGGCCAGTACGTTGGATCTCAGAGGCTAAATTTCGAGCCACTTCAGGCGTCTGCAGTGCAGTAGAGATGGCTTGAGATGAGACTTGCTTGACCATTAGAGGAAGAAGGCGGTCGATAGTTGTCACTGACTCGTCCACCTGCACATTTATGATCAAACAAATTAAGTTTCTAATGCTAGTTGAATCTAGAGGTGTACATTAAACCCGACAATTTGATAACTCAACCAACCCAATCCTAATTATATGGGTTGGGTTGGAATGGATTAGTATTTCGAGTTGGATTGGATTAATTTATCTGTACCCAGTTTCGAATTCATTAGAGGGAACTCCGGGTTGACCCTTAACGAACAAAAACTTATAAAATATTTTAAGTTTTAAGATAGATTTCACATAATTGATATAAAATTAGTTTTCATAAATTTTTGTAATAGTCCGAGATTAAACTTATTTATTATCTACTATATTATTTTTAGTTTAAATTATTTTAAAATACATTATTTATGATAGGAATAAACTATTCCGAGTTTAAAGTCCGCACGGCCTTCCAAAAGTGGAACAAGTATCAGAAGTGCGCAAGTCTCTACCCATCCTTCCCTTCTCCTAAAATCTACCTCGAGTCAGGTCGACGGAGCTACTAGTCCAACTTCTTGAGCAGCCGAGATATTGAACAACGAACATTTGAGACAAATCTTTTTTATCGATAATCTCAGACCAATCAACTGTGAATTTTTTTAGAATTATTTTTACTTTTAATTCATCATTTTTCTGGACGAATAATTTTAAGTTCCATCTTATTTATTATCCTATTATGTTATTTTTGTGATAAGTTAGTTCCCTCAACCCTGAGAGCATAACTACGCATGACTTTTAATATATTTTATCTAAGATTGTATTGAATGATTATGAAGTGTGGATAAATAAAAGTTCTTAAAATATTAATTTTTTTAACAACCGACAATCCAACTTGAAAACTGGGAGTTGGATTATAAACACGTAAGTTGGTTCAAAAAATTCTCTCAATCCAATCCAACTCAACCACCGACTCGATACATCATATGGAATTTAAACCAACAAGAGCAATTTGTTCGATGATCACACATAAAACACAACAAATTCAAATGATTACGGGATTGAAAGAAGAAAGAAAACGAACCTTGCGATCGACGAACTTAAGAACCTCTTTTGAAGGGTCGTGTAACTTAATGTACAAAGGACCAACAACGGACTTCACAGTGCCTTCCATGGCTTCGACGCCGAACTTCAGCGGACCGGACCAGTCTTTCGCATAGCTATAAAACTTGAGTGAACACATTGCTGCTCGAAATGCCGCTTTTAGAACGAACTCCAAATACTTCAACTCCCCCTCCTCAGCTCGAGTCGCCTATACAAAATACAACAAAACCCGAACCGGATCGAATCGCAAAAAGTTCAAGTAATGAGAAGAGTTATAAGAGGGCTTACCATTTCCAAAGCCAAAACCAAGGGAAAGAATGATGGAGGGGAAGAAGGGAAGAAGGAGAGTGGGGATTTATAAGGTCCATCTATCAATATGACGTCATAAATAATTATAAATTTTTATATATTTGTTCTACTCCAAAAATTCAATTCATACCATAACATATATTATCATTTTTGGGCTTTCCATTTCGTGCTTCCCGTCATTTTTAAAACACATCTTGGAAAGGTTTTCACACCCTTATAAAGAATGTTTCGTTCTCCTCAACCAATGTAGGATCTTACAATCCACCCCCCTTTTGGACCCAGCGTCCTTACTAGCACACTGCCTCGTGTCCACCTCCCTTCAAGGCTTAGCCTCCTCATTGGTACATCGCTCGGTATTTGTAACAACCCAAAGTGGGCATTATCCTCTTTGGGTTTTCCCTTTCGAATTTCCCCTCAAGATTTTTAAAACGCGTTTCCACTCCCTTATAAAGAATGTTTTGTTCTCCTCCTCAATCGATGTAGGGTCTTACAATCCACCCCTCTTTGGGACCCAACACCCTTACTGGCATACCGCCTCGTGTCAACCTCCCTTTGGGGCTTAGCCTTCTCGTTGGCACATCGCCCGGTGTCTGACTTTGATACCATTTGTAACAGCCAAAACTCACTACTAGCCGACATTGTCATTTTTGAGTTTTTCCTTTCGAGTTTCCCTCAAAGTTTTTAACACACGTTTGATAGGGGGGGTTTTACACCCTTATAAACAGTATTTTGTTCTCCTCCCCAATCAATGATGTGTCATTTAAAAAATGTTCTCGAACACGTAAGTACATGACAACATTTAAGATAAAGTTATATTTTACGAAGAAGTTTAAATGCTAATTTTCGCATAAAAATAATTACGCTAAGTTAGCACAAAAATTATTAAGAAATCAAGAAAAAATATTTTTAATTAAATTTTATATAGATTTCCTATTTAAGTAAATTTCAAGAATTAATTACAAAATTAAAATAATTATTTAAGCTATTAATAATAAAGAAGACTAGATGTAAGAAACACATTGCACACGTGGCTAGGGACCAAACACTGGTCAAATTATGGTAGATTCTTGTCAGCATCCACACAGTATGTGATTTTATGTGCTTCCACGTTGCTGCTGAGGTGTATGCTGAGGTGTCTGCCATGAATGAGTTCTAAACAATTTACTTATTTCTCTAATTTCTTAATTATTAAAATAACACTTCAATAATTTATTAGTTTATTTTTATATAAATCATAAAATAATAATGCTAAAAGTCCATTAAAATAAATAACTATTTTTTTTTCAAATAATAATTTTTTTTTCGTGCTTAGAATTAAATAATTTTGAGTAAAATTGTTAAATAGAGACGTCATGCATATTGTATGTTTATTTTCATCGAGTTACTTTTCCTTTGATGATGATGAGTACGAACGCGTATGCTATGAAGATGATGATCATCATTATCATGCCTTGCATGATATTCGAGGGTTTGTTGTACCTCCGGTCATCCGACTATAGCCAACTAGCCCGACTATGATGGGCCCATGGTATGTGCAAACCACCTAGTGGGTTCACGCTCGCACGTGTAGGTTGTGTGTAGGGAAGTACTACAAATCCAATTTGTCCTAACTAGAGACCTCATCTACGATGGTTTCCCTAATCATAAGTTGTATATGTTTGCATTCCCTGACCCCAATAATAGAGTCATTTACCGATTATTTCTTAAAATACTCAAGTCATGTATTATTTCTTGGTTTCAAGTAAAAGCAAGGCACCCTAAAAGCAAGGCACCCTGTACAACTAATAACGACATCGCAAGTAAAGATCATAACACATGCATAGAATAGTTGCATTTAAGTCGTAGTCAAGTAAAGGTCCGTGGTAGAGCTCTATTGGACTAGTAACATGTTTCAAAGAAGAGGAGTCGTTTAAAATAGTGCTAAACAAATAGATGACTATTTAAGAGGAGACTAATATGAATCGTCAAGTGTGGCTCAATGATATACTTGCAGAAGAGGAATGATGACCATGGACGTAAGGACACTGACACGAGACCTTTTATAAAAACCAAAAGCAAAACAATTGCGAACCCGACAAATTTTCGTTTAAAGTAAGAGTATTTATACGACTCGAGAACCCGACTAACCTAGACTAGCCAACCCAAACCATAAACGTTGAGTCGGGTTAAAACTGAAAATTTCGGTTCGATTCACAGGTTTTATTTTATTCCCTATGTTACATACTTTTTTTTTTGTGTCCAATAATAAGAGAATTGCATTATATTACAATTTCTATAATATATATATATATATATATATATTTTAAAAAAAAAATCTCTAAAAATTCTCCTTGTGGAAATCAAATTTGGTGGTTGTTTTCCTAGAGAAGTCTTGTGACAATCTCCTTAGCTCTCCTACCAGCCCTTGTGCTCCACAGTAAAACACCCCTGCATTCACGTTACGACCCGATATTAGATAAATTCTAGTCGAGTTTACGTGACGTGACTGTTGATGACCGAAACAAAGTAGAAATATAATCCAAAGTTCATCGATGTTATTTGAAATATCTCCCGTAATGACTTACCAACTCTTTGATCAGGGTGATTTATAGCAACACGCTTTAGGACATTACGCCAGTTCGGTCTAGCAAAATGAGTCTTCACCCTTGTCCCGGACACAATATCAACGCCATTCTTGGCATGGTTTAGATCTTGGAGCATGGTAATGAGGGCGGACCGAGCATCACCCTCTTCGTAAACGCTAGTGCAATAGTTGTGCAACTCAATCACTCTGTCTCGATCGTTCTCGGCGACTTCATCCATGACACCTCTAAACCATTCGAATGAGCCTTGCTCTCTTGTCACCCAGTAGAAGTAAGCTCGCTTTGTCATGAAAGGCTTGGCGTGCTTATCGGTGATGCCATTTTCGATGTCTTTTTGTTCCTTGATGTTGTTGAGTACATCCTTGACGATGCTGATCAGTGGCGTGGCGCCGATCCCCAGCCCCACAAGAAGAAGAACGTCGTATTGTTTGTAGTCTTGCGCCGGAGCTCCGTATGGTCCGTCTATCAACAGTCTTGGCAACCTAGAGTACCATTTTTAAAGTGAGAAAAATTGATGTTTTAAGGGAAAGTTTGAGAAACGCTGTTGAAGTACCTGATTTTGTTGCTGCTTTGGCCAATATCATCCCTCAAAAGACCACTTTGATTAACAGATGGTGGCTGACATACCTGATGAAAGAATTAGGCAACCTATTTTTCAAAATATTCATGAATCATGCTCGTAACAACCCAAACCCACCGCAAGGGCTTTCCCTTTCTGGCTCCCCCTCAAGATTTTTAAAACGTGTCTGCTAGAGAGAGATTTCCATACTCTTATAAAGAATGATTTGTTCCACTCTCCAACTGATGTGGGATCTCACAATCTATTCCCCTTCAAGGCCCAACGTCCTCATTGACACTCGTTCCCCTCTCCAACCAATGTGGGATCTCACAATCTATTCCCCTTCAAGGCCCAACGTCCTCATTGACACTCGTTCCCCTCTCCAACTGATGTGGGATCTCACAATCTACCCCTTTCAAGGCCCAGCATTCTCACTGACACTCGTTCCCCTCTCCAACCGATGTGGGGTCCCACAATTCATTCCCTTTAGGGGACCAACATCCTCACTGACACTCGTTCCCCTCACCAACCGATGTGGGATCTCACAATCCACCCCCTTTTGGGGCCCAACATCCTCGTTGACACTCATTCCCCTCTCCAACCGATGTGGGATCTCACAATCCACTCTCCTTCGAGGCTTAGCATCTTCGCTGACACTCATTCTCTTCTCCAACCGATATGGAATCTCACAATCCACCCCCTTTCGGGGCCTAGCATCCTTGTTGGCACTCGTTCCCCTCGCCAACCGATGTGGGATTTCACAATCTGCTCCTCTTCAGGGCCTAGCATCCTCGCTGACACTCATTCCCTTCTCCAACTGATATGAGATCTCACCATGCTAGTTTACTGACAAATTTCTTTGTTTTATAATCTACTTTCGAAAACGACATAATTCTACAAAAAGAATCACCTTAGAGAAAATGGTCTTGAGCTGTGAAGTCCAATCTCCCACGGTGCGGATGTGAATGCTCAAGTAGTCATCCCTTGGAGCAGACGTGATCGAAAACGGATGCCTGCAACAAAACTTGATTAGGTCCGTTCATTCTGATCAAACCAATCGTCATGGTCGATCACGATGATCACGGATCAGACAATGAATGTAGGATTTACCATTGAAAGGGAGAAATAGCAGAACAGTTTACAAATATGTACTGCCCACTTGTGTATTTAAAACCATGAGGCTTTGACATTTGCAATGCCAAAACATTTCCAGGATACACAGCAACCTGAGAGTTTTCTTGCTATCAGCATATAGTTCAAGGCACTTCAAACAAAAAGCAAAGAGTAAGGGTGTAGACCTTTGAGATCCTCACTGTTTTGTCGCCCGACCGAAACGCACGAATCAATCTTTCACATGCGTATATCAAAACCGGGACAGCTAGATACATCCATGTCTGTCGTCGACAACGAAACAAAATGTCATTGGGATGTTGTTCACTACGTGTTTTTGTTTCCTATAAAGTTCGATTTGAACGAGAACGCTCACCGTTTTTTTGTACCATTTCTTGGAAAGATAGAGGTAGTAGCCATGGATGATGAAGAGGACATAGACAAAGATAAAGAGATGGTGAGAGTACCAGAAGGCATTGAAGCCTGTGAGTCTCTTGATGATTTTGGGGAGGTTCAGGCGGTTGCGGCGGAACCATGGCTGAGCCAAGGTGAATGCTATGATCATCAGCACCACCATCACCACCCCTGTCCACCCTTCCGTCCCCTTCACGAACCACCAATAGTTATTCGGTCGTACTTCACCGAAAAACGGCTTCATTGGTTTATATTGAGCGTCGGTCGCATGGAGTAGCTTTGGAAAGTCGCAGGTAAGATGTGCTCCAGCATGTAAAAGAACCCCAATGGCTATGCCAACTGCAATTACCTAAACCAAGCAAATGCATATACAAGTAAGCTTTTAAGTTAGCTAGTGAACTAAATTCTTCCCAACCTAACCACTTCCGCTTTGAGTTTAGCAACTAATAATCAAATCTTCTACATTCACCCTTGTTATTATTTTGCCATATGATATTATTCACGGATGTTAATCTTACTCACCGAGTCTGGGAGATCCCATATCGGTGGGAAAAGAGACAACATTTTTTATAAGGGTGTGAAAACCTCTCTCTAGCAGACGCGTTTTAAAAACCTTGAAGGGAAGCCCGAAAGAAAAGGACCAAAGAGGACAATATATGCAAGCGGTGGGCTTGGGCCGTTACAAATGATACCAGAGTCAGACACTGGGCGATGTGCGAGCGAGGAGGTTGAGCTCTGAAGGGGGGTGAACACAAGGGGTGTGCAAGCAAGGACGTTGGGCCCCGAAGGGGGTGGATTGGGGTTTCACATCAATTGGAAAAGGGAACAAGTGTCAACGAGGATGCTGGGCCCGAAGGGGGGTAGATTGTGAGATCCCACATCAGTTGGGGAGGAGAACAAAACATTCTTTAAGCTAGGTCCGAAAGGGAGTGAATTGTGAGATCCCCAACCGGAGGAGGAGGAGAACAAAACATTCTTTATAAGGTGCGGAAACCTCTCCCTAGCAGACACGTTTTAAAAACCTTGAGGGGAAACCCGTAAGGGAAAGCTCAAAGAGGACAATATTTGCTAACGGTGGACTTGGACCATTACCAATGGTATCAAAGCCAGACACTAGACAAAGTGGAAGCAAGGAGGCTGAGCCCCAAAGGAGGTGGAAACAAAGGGTGTGCCAGCAAGGACGCTGGGCCTGAAGAGGATGGATTGGAGGGTTCCCACATCGATTGGAGAAGGGAACGAGTACTAGCTAGAACGCTCGGCCCAAACAAAGCATTCTTTACATGGGTGTGGAAACATCTCCCTAACAAAATCGTTTTAAAAACCTTGAGGGAAAGCTCAAAAAGAAAAACCTAAAGAGAATAATACCTATTAGCGGTGGGCTTTGGCCGTTACACACACCATCACATACTCAGATTCAAAGCTATGTTATCAATTTGTTATATGCAAAATGAAGCCAAGAATCAAAATGGTTAGATCTTACAAATTCAAGAACTAAGACCCAATAAAACTCAGTGATCAAAACAAGATCTAAATCAATCATCCTCCACCTAAAACTCAAGCAACTTTTCACAGAGACAAATCATCAAACACTTGGTGGGACACATAAACAGTACCTTGTGGAAGTTAACATTGTCATCAAAAGGGATAACAGCGCCAAGCTTGGTCTTACTCCGGAGCCAAGTAATGGTATTCCTACAAACAGGGAGAAGAACAATGGCCATATTGAACTTGAGGGTCTCAGCGGCGCCCTTGGCGGTGGTGACGCAGTAGCCCATGACATGGAAGACGGCCCGATGGCGGTACTGGACGAACTTCCAGGCGAAAAGAGCGGCGCAAATGGCGAGCCATAGAGAGAAGACCCAGATGCGCTTCCGATTGTCCTCAACGAAGTAGCGGAGTGAGCGGTAGGTGCGCTTGATGGGGTTGTATTCCTTTGTGGGCACGAGCTTTTGGCTCAGTAGTTGGCTCAGCACTCGGCTGTCTGTTACGCGATTCCTTGCCAATGCTTGGTTTGGCGCTTGCAGGAGTAGCATTTCCAAATTGTATAGCTGAATCAAAATTTTCCCAAATGCTACATTAATAAAAATATACTTTCAATTTTTTTTTTAATAATACCCTTATTTAAAAAATAATAACAAAAAATGTCCTTATTAAGTTTAATTAAAAAAAACATCCCTAAATTTTAATTTTTTTTAATAATACTCCATTTTTAAATTTATTTTATAAATATATATATTAATTTTAATTTTAAAAAAATACACTAGTGTTTCAAAAATTTGTTTAAATTTTAAAAAGTTTTAATAATACTCTACTTTTACATTTATTTTAATTTTTTTATTAATATATATATATATATATATATATATATTATTTATTAATTTTAATTAAAAAACGTTTCAAAAATATTCTTAGATTTTAAAAAGTTTTAATAATACTCAGCTTTTTAATTTATTTGCATGTTTTTATTAATATATTAATATATATATATATATTAATTTTAATTAAAAAATATTTAAAAAATACCCTTAAACATTAAACATAAAAAGGTTTTAATAATACTATAACTTTTAAATTTTTTATATTAATATATATATATATATATATATATATATATATATATATATTAATTAAAAAAAACATTAAGATTTCAAAAATATCTTTAAATTTAAAAAGTTTTAATAATACTCGACTTTTAAATTTATTTAATATATATATATATATATATATATATATATATATATATATATATATATATTAATTTTGATGTATTTAAAAAAAATTCTTAAATTTTAAAAAGTTTCAATACATAACTTTTAAATTAATTTTTTTTATTTATTAATATATATATATATATATATATATTTAAAATATCTTAAAAATATCCTTAAATTTAAAAATACCTATAAAATTTTAAAAATAACATTGTTAAGTTTTATAAAAAAGGTTTTAAATTTTTTTAGAGTATATAGACGAAAACGTCGGTATATATTTCATAGATTATTTCCAAATTATTTAATGTTACTTTTAAAAGTTTATGAGTATTTTTGAAACATGATACTAACGGTTTTATCTCAATAAAAATATTTATTTAACTTTTTCTTAAAAATAAATAAGGTATTTTTGAAGTTTTTAAAATATTAAAGGTATTTTTTAAAATATTATTTAATATCATTGACGTGTTCATTGAAATCACTATTTACATACCTCGATATATCCGAGGTTGTCGGGGTCCAACTCTTCCATAATCAGAGTAGCATATTCTTCCGCGTCGTCTTGGATTTTTGATAACTTGTTAGCCGAAGCACTTAATGCAATAATCTGAAGAATACATAAATAAATAAATAAATGATTATAATTAACTTATGTAGGATTTTAAAACATACCTCACATGGATAATTAAATTAAAAATAAATTAAAATTGATCGACATATCTGACCTATTTTAGAAATTGAAAATGAATTAAATTATAATTATTGAGTTTTTATTGGATAAGAACCAAGCTCGTTTTGGGCTTAATAATATATATATATATATATATATATATATATAATTTTTATAATATTATAATTTTTATAATAATTTAAGAATTTGGAGAATTTTTTTTTTTTACATCGTATAATCCGTGAATCCAACCATTAAGATCACCCAAACATAAGGTTTGGGTTCGGTTAAATATATATATATATATATATATATATAAAATTTCAACTCGACTAATTATAAATTAGAGTTCAATTCAACGTAACTCTAAAGATTATTAAAAAAATATTAAAAATATTTAATATTTGTGACGGGTGTTAGTATCATGACTCATGAATGTTTGATATTTGAAAGTTAAGAAATTTTAGGTAGGTAAAGTAAAATTTTTTTAAATATTTTTTTTTAGAAAAAAAATCTTATAATCCAACATATTTATTATAAATGAAATAAAATATTAAAAAATTTAAATTAATAAAAATATTTTGAACTTATATAAAAAAAAAAAAATATTTCTACAGTTATTATTATTATTATGAATTATCTTCCCTCCAATTACCTCTTTGACTTCTTTTCCGGTAATGCGGCCATCGGCATTCTTGTCCACCCTGCACGATCGTACCATTTTGTAAGAGAAGGTTCTGCTTTAAAGAATCGCCAAATCCATGGCCATTCTAGAGAGAGAAGATTCAGAGAAGAGAGAGAGAGAGAGAGAGAGAGAGAGAGAGAGAGAAACTGATTCTTACATATCGAAGAAGATTTGAAGCCTTGAATCGAAGCTTTCATCGCTAATTTGCTCCCAAAATTCACGAAGTTCCCCCTTGATTATGGAGGTCGAAGTTATGCCTCTTCTTCGAGCCAACGCCTCGAATAACTCGCCGGCGAACTCGCTCGACTCGTTCATGCCTGATCCATCATCGAATCAACAACTTCGGTTGGTCAGATTTCACAAGCATTGTTCAAATTTGAGAAAATAATTGTGATCTAGTTGTTTTATATATATACCTATGCATCTTGCGAACAACGACTTCGGAAGCTCTCCGTTAATGGCGAGTTCATTGAATCGATTCTCAATCTCTGACCAGGCTTCACTTCTGACGCTTTTGGTCATGAATCGGAGGCCATTTAGGGCACGACTTGCGCCAGATTTTGTTCTGTCGATTCTGTTGAAGCTTTTGGAGGATGTCATCCGTTTCAGTTCCTGTGATACTTGCTTCAATTTGAACGACAATTGAGAGCCTAGCGTAGGGCGTTTTGTCTCCAATCGGCTCGCTAGCATTGCCGTCTCTGAATCTCCTCCTTTGATGTTCTGAACCGAGACTGAGTCGTCGCGAACGTCTAAGGTAATCTCGACGTACTGATCGTCGTCTTTGATTCTCATAGTGCTTCTTGTGCTGCTGCTGTAGCTGTTGGTTCTTTTGTAGGCGACTGAAGGTCCTGGTAACGGACCGCTGAAGGCAACTCGTTTGGAGCTCCCTGTGCTCTCTGTGTCTGACCATGAATCTACAGGTTTGTTTTCTTCGCCCTCCATTGTTGGATCTGAATCTGATCTCTCTGTTTCTTGTATGCACTGTAACACGCACACCAGGTGTTTGTTGTAATGCCTGAGAGACAGAAAAGTTAGAAAAAGTTAGAGCCATCAACCCAATTATTAAAACGCCAAAAATGTTGACTCCCTAAGGATAGTTTGGGCTTTTCAAATCTTATTATAAGTTACAATAATTCCACCACTCTCCATTCATGTCTCTGCCCATTGAACAAAAGAAAATCGTAGGATAAAGTAAAACAAACAATCACATGATTTAGTTCTGGAAAATGGGTGTTATCCTAATAGCTAGCTCGTGATAAACTACATACAAATCCAGGCCTAGAGAAGAGACTACGAGTAGGAAGAAGGAAAATCAACAATCTTAGAAAATGACCCAAAAGAACACTAATGATTACAAAAACAAAGAATGCAAGAGAAGTTTTGGCAGAAAAACTAAGAGAATTAAGAGAAAAGTTTGATTTGAATGTGAGCTGACCCTCTGAGTTTGTAGTTCTGGATGTTTCAGTACTGGAAAATGGGTGTTATCCTAATAGCTAGCTCGTGAAAAAAATACACAAATCCATGCCTAGAGAAGAGACTATGAGCAGGAAGAGGAGAATCAATAATCTTAGGAAGTAACCCAAAAGAACACAAATGATTACAAAGCAAAGAAATCAAAGAGGGGCTTTGGAAGAAAAACTAAGAGAATTAAGAGAAAAGTTTGATTTGAATGTGAGCTGACCTTCTGAGTTTTGAGTTCTGGATGATTCAGTGCTGGAAAATGGGTGTTATCCTAATAGCTGTCTCGTGAAAAACTACACACGAAGAGACTGTGAGCAGGAAGAAGGAAAATAAGATAACCCAAAAGAACACTAATGATTACAAAACAAAGAATTCAAGAGGAGTTTTGGAAGAAAAACTAAGAGAATTAAGAGAAAAGTTTGATTTGAATGTGAGCTGACCCTCTGAAGTTTTGAGTTCTAGATTTGGAAAATCTGTAGTCGTTTTTGGTGAAGTTTGAAGGGTGAGGAGGGGAGAAGGGAAAGAGGTTTATAGTTGATGAGGGATTGGGAGGGTGAGGAAGATTATTATTCAAAGTTGATGGGTTTAATTCTAGGGGCGCATTGGGATGTGTTGGGGGAGAGAGTGGGGTTGTTGGCCATTAAGCTGTTTTGTGTGTTCTTACAAGAACTTGTATTAATATATGTCCTCACTTGGTCAATCTTGACGAACACTGTTGCAATATTAACGAACAGGGGAGGAAAAGAAAGAGGACACGAACGCCAACTTTACCCATAATGACCCACCACACCGATGACCTTGTTAAGATTGGGAAAATGTGGCAACTTTCTTTTATGAACTGGGCAATGCTTTAATACTTTTTTGAACTTGGGGGAGAGAGTGGATTCATTACAAATGGTATTAGAGTTTGACATTGGACGATGTGCTAGTGAGGAGGATGAGCTCCAAAAGGGTGGACATGAGGCAGTGTGCCATTAAGGACGATGGCCTCAAAGGAGAGTAGATTTGGGGGGTCCCACGTCGATTAGAGAAGAGAACGAGTGCTAACGAGGACGCTGTGCTTCGAAGGAGGGTTGGATTGTGAGATTCCACATCGGTTGGGGAGGAGAATGGACATTGTTTAAAAGGGCGCAGAAACCTTTCCCTAGCATACCCGTTTTAAAACCGTGAGGGTGATGGTAATACGTAACGGACAAAAGCAGATAATATCTGCTAGCGGTGAGTTTGGATAGTTACATTTGTGAAAATCACAAATGAAGTGACATGATATTTTTAAAATTGGTGTATTATCACATGACCTTCCAATCATTAATGAAATTTTTTAATGAAAATTTGATTTAAAAAATGTAACTTGAAATTTTCAAATATTTGGTTTGCATGTGACAATGATTTTATTTTAATTCTTCCTATGGTTTGTGAATATTATTATTTTTGTTTAATATTCTAATCGCCTTTTTATATATATATATATATATTCTACCGTGATCAGATATTGTCTTTTTTGGACCTTAAAACGCGGTCTACTAGAAAAAAGTTTCCACATCTTTATAAATGGTGTTTTATTCTCCTCCCCAACAATGTGGAACATCACAATCCACCCTCCTTCGGGGCCTAGCATCCTCGCTGGCTCTCGTTCTTTTCACCAGTCGATGTGGGACCGCCACTAAATCCACCCCCATTTGGGGCCCAATGTCCTTACTAGCACACCGCCTTGTGTCTATACTCCCTTCGGGGAACAAAGAGAAGGCTGATACATCGTCTAGTGTCTGGCTCTAATACCATTTGTAACAACCCAAGCCCACCGCTAGTAGATATTGTCCTTTTTGGCTTTTATTTCGAGCTTCCCTTAAAGGCTTTAGAACGCATATCTAAACGGTACTATATTGGAGTAGAAAGGGAAGTGGAAACTTTGTAGATGGTATCAACTGCCATTGTCCTATGAGGTACCTTTGTCTTCTAAGATTATTGGGGTAGTTTTTTAGGTTTCTAGGGTAGTTTGGCGGTCTTGACATGGATTGATGTATCCAAGTTTATTAGTTTTAACTCGCTGAGTCTAGATTGATTAGAAGCACTAGGGGCTACACCCTTTGATCGAATTTTCGATAGATTTGCTCACATTAGAAAGTTCATGATCCCTAAAATGTATGCCGAGGACCCATTGATTGCTTCAACACCTTTGTTGCCTTCTTCAACACGTTCACTTTGAATAAGGTATACCCAAGGTTACAATAGTCCAAAATGATCACTGCTTATTTGGTCGAATAAATTGCTTGAAGTATGAAAGACACGTGCCTGTTTCCCTTGTACATATCGTATCTTGGGATTGTTTAATGTTTGCTTAATATGTTATGATATGTTGTAATTACAAGATATGTCATGTTATGGAATATCATGTCAAATATGTTGTAATTACAAGATATTTCATGTTATGGAATATCATGTTGACACATTATTCCATTGATGATGTAACACTCCAAGATTGTAGTAAAATGAGCATTTGTGCTTTTCTTTAGCCAACGGCTAAGTTTCTTTGCAATTCTATGTAGTTTAGGTTGTATGTAGAATCATTCGAGCTAGACATGATCGATCTTGCTTGTGAAGTGATTCGAATCTCCAACAAGTGTTCTTGCTTTGAGATATTCGATCAACAAGGTAATCTAAATCTTACTCTCTTTGTAGTGATTCCACATGAGTGGTAATCTTCCCTATACCCCTACACAAATACATTGCAAAAGCTCAATATAAACAAATTTTTGTAGAAAATTATTGATGAACTTTTTCTACCAATGTCAAGTTGTTTCAAAAGGTATTAACATGGTTAAGGTTTCAAGACTGTCATCGACTCTAGTGGTGTCTCGACGGCTCTAACGGCTCAAAAATGAGTTATTCGGCTTGATATAGACATTTTGATATCAATTCCTACATTTTTTTACCTTGTCGAAGCTGAATTTGACTTTAATCAAGGCAATTAAGGTCAGTATAGTGTCATATTTCCAAGTTTAAGTTGATTTAGGGTAGAAATGTGAGTTATTAATGAAAACTATATGGACTTTCGAATAGGAAACAACCCCTGATGATACTTGGAGCAACTTTGAGAGACGAAATTTAAACGTACTTGAGTTTAGGGAGAACGCCGACTAAAACCAACCAAGTAAGAGGTCTTACTATCGGTACAATTAAAAGTTGATGTTTGTATGATGACACATGTCCTGTGGATCTGCATGTGTTATATGTCTGATATGTGTGAAACGTTAATAAAATGATATGACTGTGATGTGTTTATGTAATGATATGACTGTGATGTGTTTATGTAGTGATAGGACTATGATACACTTATGAAATGTTATGACTAATATATGTTTATGTAATGATATACCTATGATTTGTTAATGTAATGATAGGACTATGATACATTTATGAAATGATATGACTATGATATGTTTATGGAATAGTATGATTATGATACGTGTATGAAACGATAAGACTATAATATGTTTATGAAAGGACATGACAAGGGTGTGTTTATGAAACGATAGGAATGTGACATGTTTTCGAAATGATATGACTAT